GCATCGGGAACAAATGAGTTTTTTGCGAGTTCTTGAAAGGAACAAATAATTATATCCTGTGCTTTCTTGTAGGAATTCTATGGTAATCTCTTTTCTCCGTCGATACTTACATGATCGACGACGACTGAAACAGATTTATTAATGGAAAAAAGACGTCGAGTGAGATGAGCTTACGCTGTTGGTGAAAGATTGAGCTACATGGTATAAGATGACGTTGTACGAGTTGACTGACCTGAGGCAAACGGAAAAAAATGTCTCATTGCCCTTTGGGGGAAACTTAAAGGAAAGACCGTGCAAAACCGCCTCTTTACTTGAGTAACAATTGTGATAAGAGTCACAACCTTCAGACAACACTAGATCGAAAGTCCTTCCCCTATCCGAGCGTTGATTGCAAAAGAAACTTTGTTAGTGATAAAAGCTCGATGAGGTTTTGATTGCTTGTGACGTTTACTGTTCATCAATCATCTTCCTGTGGGTGGTTGGTGGGTGCTCTGGTGTGGTTTGCTCCTTCTTTCCTATGAAACATCTATTGTCCTGGTCTCTCCTACTTCTTTTTTGTGTTTGTTACTCTCTTGTAACACCTCTAATCATACCTTAATTGCCTATTATTAGTCAAATTCTGAATATTGAGTAGTTTACTTTTTAGTGAGTCTCAACTATTTCTGTATCTAAATCAGCAATGACAATATAGAAACCTCTTGTGCATGTCATAAACTGCCCTTGACAAGTACAACGCTGATTTAACATTAATTATCTAACTCCTACAACAAGCTGTTTTTGCATTTTAACTTGCCTACTACTCCTTTATTCTTTATTCTACTTACTACACAAACCGTTCATGAAGTCGTGACAGCACACAAAACGTTGTGGGTGGTTGATGGGTGCTCTGGTGTGGGTTACTCATTCTTTCCTATTATACATCTGCTGTCGTCCTGATCTCTCCTTCTTTTTTGTGTTTGTTACTCTCTTGTAACACCTTAATCTTGGGCACTTATAATTAATTTATGACCTGATTGTGTTGCAAGTGCGTAAGACTCTTGCTGAAACTAAACTAGAAGCACCAAACTTTCACACTGCAGAAAACTGGCCAATGATCACAGACCATTGGGTCGCGGAAAGGAGTGTGGAACTCAAATTCACATAGGCTTGAAACATTCAAGCTTTTTCAAAGCCAAATGAAGAGGTTTGATTTCCCACGTTAATGATGAAGGTAACAAGATCTGTCTTTTAAGCGACCACTGAGGGCGTTCTTGTGCCAGGCAAACGGAATGGCGCTCATAAGACCTTATGCAATTGCGAGCGCCGTAAAACCTCTACTAAAACTAAACTAAAAGACAAACGGGGATTTCGTAGAACGACAAATCTTACATTGCTTCGGGATGATCTGGTAAGTTGTTGTTTTTTTTCAGTCGAAATAGAAAATGAAAATACGACAACTTTGATTACAATCTTCCTTATATTATAGCTGAATAACGTTTGCATGGGAACTCACTATTTTCTTGGTCGAACCTTTTAACTTCTGTAATTTCTGCAACGATTTGATCTTTATTCGTGGGTGACTGGTGGGCGCTCCGGTGTGGTTTGCTCCTTCTTTTCTATCAAACTCTGTCTTCCTTATCTCTCCTTCTTGTCATTGTAGGGCAAAATAAAGAAATTGAAAAAAACTGGCATTTTTGGACAATTCGACAATTTTTATTATTTTCGTTGTTTTTATTTT